TTATCCTCGCCGCAACCAGTGCTCCCGGGACTTGGGGGCCGTCCCTTTTCTGCCTCGCCCAGTGGCCCTCACTGGTGCGGGCGGCTGTTTCCGTCCGCCAGGCACTACAGAGGCAGGCTGCAGGGGCATCGTGTCCTGGGGACGTCTTTGGGGGGGCACCTGGAGCCTTGGCCACGTCAAGGTCAAGTGTGGCAATACCTTGTCTGTCGGGCCACCGGACCAGAGCCCATCCTGTCCTAGCCTGGCAGACCCCACATGGCTCTGGGGACCACGGCTCCCCCTGTCCTCTGATCCCTAGATCCTGGGCTCAGTACCTGGCCGGCCCACAGCTGCGCTCGTGCACCGGGCAGTTTCCTGGCCCCCAGACAGGAGGACATAGCAGGCCCCCTCAGAAAGGGGTTTCATTTCAGGCAGGAAGAGAGGAAAGTGCTGACTGCTGCACCTCCAATTGTATCTTTTCTTTTTATTTTTGGGGATCGGGTTAGTGAATCTCTTCTGATGAGTTGCCCGTTCTCTCATTTTCTCTCACTCCTGTGCAGTTGATTTATTTAAAGGTGTGTCAGCACGGGGCTCAAATGAGGAGCTGGGCCTCCTTCTTTCTGCTGACGGCCGGCCATGCCAATAAGTCATTTTTTAGCTCATTAGCTAACGGAGACTGTGAGCCGCGGGCCTCCAGGGGATTGGAATGAGGTGAAGTGATCTACTGCCAGCTACGCTGCTCTTGAACTGGCCTTCCTTGGGGAGAATGAAAGGCTCGGCCAAGACAAGCGGGGGATCCCAGAAGTGAGATTGGGACATCAGAGTAACAATTAGCGTATTTGTGCTTTGGCGTCCTGGTTTCTTGGGATAAATGGTTTTAGACAGAACATTCTTGTAGCAAAGGAGTCATTAGCAGAGTGTCCATCTTTCACGTGGTAGCTGTGGGCACAGGAGCCAGATGACAGTGATGGAGGCCATGGTCATCCAGGGCTTTAGTCGGCCTGGGCTGCCTGAACAGAAGGCCACAGAGCAGGTGGCTGTAACAACAGAGATGTATTTTCTCACAGCTCGGGGGGCTGCAAGGTCAAGGTCAAGATGCCAGGGTGGTTTTCCAGTGAGAGCTCTTCCTGCCTTGCAGACAGTGCCATCACGTGGACGGAGATCCCCGTGTCTCTTCCTCATCTTTAAAGGACACCAGCCCCACTGGAGTAGGGGAGTATGATCTCACTGAACCCCAGTGACCTCCTTTAGAGGCCTGGTCTCCAAATGCAGACACATCTGGGTTAGGACTTCGGTATATGCATTTGGCACAGTTCAGGCCGTAGCACCCAGGAAGACGTCAGACATCTCAGAGCTGTGGGCTGGGGCTAACCTCACTTGGCCCCAGATACCATGACGGCCACAGCGTCCTTCATACTAGCCGGGCACCCCTCGCCCAGTGTCCCAAGCCCCTCTGCCCCATGTTAGGGTGTGGGGGTAACCACAGGGTACCAGTGGGTTTGTCAGGGCCCCTGGCCTAGGGCCCTCACCTTGCCCTCCCCAGGGCATTGACAGCCCAGACTTAGAAACCTAAAGCATCCAGCAGGTGTTTGACCCCCACGAACTCCTGTGCCATGGACCCCTCTTTGTCCCACACGTCACCCCACAGGTGAGGTCACAGGTGCTCGAGAGCGGTGGTGCGTCATTAGAGACGCCATTCAATTCCATCATGACAGTGCCCATGACCAGCTCGCCCTCCAAACATGGTCACCTTGGCCCCGAGACCGCCCTGCCTGCTGCAGACATCACTGTGCCCACTTTAAAGATGAGGAAGACAGGGCCCAAGGAGTCCCTGAGGATGTGGCAGTCGACACCACAAGGAGGAGGAACCAAGCAGGCACACAGATGCCATGTCTCCATAGCCAAAAACCAGGGCCTTGTAGCCCCCGGTGGTTCTTTCTTCCTGCCCTTGGCCACTGTGGAAAGCACAAAGGGTGAAGGTTACCCCCTTGGTTGCCAGGGTGCGTGGTGACCAGGGGACATGGGTTCAGGATAAAGGCAAGTGCTTGCGCAGGAATAGGGCTTCTTGAATTAGCAAGACCCACGTGCCCTTGTCAGAGCTCTCTGCTCCCACCAGCTGGAGTGCGTGCGCCTGGGGCAGGCATGAAGCCCAGTGGCCTCCCTTAGCTTTCTGGCCCCTCCCGGTATTAGAACACTGACACCCTGCGGTCCTTCAGGGTGCAGGAGCCAGCATGGGAAGCTTCTGTTTATAAATAGCAAAGAAGTCTTGGTGAAGAGCCCTAGTTCTCCCCACGACAAAAGCCACACGTTAAGACAGCTCTAGGGGGACCAGGTGGAGTGTTGCTAGAAGAGGCAGTCCCCACCAAGTCCTTGCAGTAGTCTTTGAGGACAGCCCCCGTAGCAAGCCTGTTCTCTGTCTCTGAGTTGGTGGAGGTTCAGAAGCCCTGTTGGGATCAGTCACCTCCCTCCAGCTCTGCAGGGTTGCAGGTGGACCAGCTGAGAAGAGCTCAGGCCTTGCGCCTTCCCTTGCAGGAACCCTCTCCAAGACCTTGTTCCTAATTTCACATACATAACATTGCAGTCTTTCTCCTGAAGAAGCTCCCAAAATAGTGTTCAGCCCTCTAAAATCTGGACCCGCGTTTGTGACATAAACAGCACCGACTTTGAAATGTAAGGAACAGTTTTAATAAACAGGACAGTCGTTGACACACGTGTCGATTGCCGTGAACCCAGACAAACTTGTTTGTGGGGGTGACCTGACCCCCAGCCAGAAAGTCACCCTCACTTCCCCGGGAGAAAGTGCTGGCCACCGGACAGGACTCAGAAGCTGCAGGCTGTCCTCAGTCTTCGCCTGTGGCATCCGAATATTAAAAAGAGAATTGGATAATTATAGTGAGGATGATAGTTACCGTGTTCAGTTCTCTGTTTTATCCCTGGGTGATTTGGCAATGCGCATTAAAATCCACCAGAGCAGAATAAAACAGCTCTGATTTTAATGCCTACCCCCAAAAATGAGAGTTAGCAAATTAGATCTTGAAAATCTGGACACATCCTTCACCACTGCCCCTTTTCATTGCATTCACGTTTGGTTCTTTTCTTTGGCGATTTATGAAATGCATCAACGTATGTTAAATACATTTTAAATAAGGTTTTTTTAAATACCATGAGAGACATGATTTGTTTGCAGTGTTCTTTCTTTCTCCTGCCCAGAGCTTTTGTGCTTGTATTTTGTCCCAAGTGGGGACTGGGTACCGGGCTGTGTCCCGGGTGGGGTGTGTGGTGGGTTCTCAGCTGTAGCCGAGTGTTTGTCCTGGAAATCTCCGCATGAAAAGGGTCGGGGTCACTCTGGGGTCACTCACATGTACCAGGAAGTGAAGCAAAACTAATCCAGATTTACTCCTGGAAGAATTTGTTTGCCTAAGTATTTAAAAACAGATTAGGGCTAACCCGACACTAGATCACTAGGAGCAATGTAAACATGGGTAAAAGGTGTAAACAAGGCCTTTCTTCTGTACTTCGGAAGAAAAAATGTCATGGTTAATGAGTTTTCTTTCTAGAGTATCACGGAGGTCCTAAGTGATTCTCTGTGTGGTGTGTAGCTGTGTACCCTGATCCTTCTCTGGGAGGGAACGCCGGGTTGTAGGAGGGGGCAGCGGTGAAGCAGTGTGTTAAGTCTCAGGAACGACAGTCACTCTGCTCTGCAGGGCTGTCCTTTCATCTCTCATCGTCCTCGTGGAAAAGCATCTGTCCGGCTAGCCGCACCCTGTCTGCGCCCACCCTGCATGCTCGCCCCCCCCCAAGACTGGCCCCCCCCCCCCAGACTCACCCACCTCCAGAGCTACTTGTGAAATCCCCCTTCAGTCTCCAGCGTTTCCTCTTCACCCCAGGCAAGACTGCAGGGCCATGACACTGAAAAGTGTCTCTTGCACCCTGTTTTGAGAAACCAAAGCCCATGAACACACCTTGCGTTGGTTTCTTCCTTTTTCTCTCTACTTTCTCTTCCCATTCTCCCTCCGCCTTCTTATGCTTAGCCCTCATTCCAGATGTCATAGGCAGCATCCTGTCCTGCTTGGATCCCGACCCCCCCCCACCACAACCAAGTTCCCAGAAGACCAGAGCTCCTGGGGGAGGGACTCCTGCTATAGCTCGTTGCATCTGTGACCCCGTCTGAGGCCCTTCCCCTCTCCTCCTTGTATCATCCCCTCCTGCACCCCTAGCTCAGCTCTGGCCTTGGGCCCCCTGCCTTGTCTCCCGGGCTGGGCCCTCTTACACCTTGACGCTCTCTACTTCAGCCTTCCCCATGTCTCCACAGAGGTTACAAAATCAAGTCATAACTGCATTAGTTTGCTTGTCTTTGCCAGACCTCTCCATTGGGGTCTCTGTGGTTTCACACGTGGGTCTGTAACAAGATGTTCCTTAACCGAAGCACTGGGAGACCCCGGGGGAGTTCACACACTCCCTTCCCAGGCTCCGAGTTAGGGGCTAAGAGTTCAAGGTCACACCGGATTGGGGAGCCCCCTGGCCATCCTGTCCCCTGGCCCTGAACTCCAGCAGGGTCCTCTAATCCCAACTAAAAGCTGTCATTGCTTACAGTAGAGGGGGCTCCAGGCTGCCCTGCCATGCGTGGAGTCTTGAGCAGCAAGGTGGTTCCTCAGGCTTCTGGGCTAAAACCAAAAGAAATCACGTGAGAGGTCAAGGCCATCGGCCTCTGTGCACACCTGCAGGCATCAGAACTCCCTTCCCCAGAAGTTCTGATTCAAGGAGGCCTGGGGAAGAGCCTGGGGATCTGCATTTCTAGCATGTTTCCAGGTGGTGCTGATGCTGCTGGGCGGGGACCCCAGTCTGGGAAACATGGCCCTGTTCCTCCAGGGGCTTTCTTGTGGCTCCGTGGAGGCACCTGTCTCCTGCTATTGCACTTCCGCCCTGAGGCCACCAGACCACCTAGGTGCTGGAGCAGAGAGGTCTTTCAGCCTTGGTTGTCCTTCCTGGCAGTGACCGCGCCCGTGTGGTGGCTCTTGCAGGGAAGAGAAAGAGCGGTGGATCCGAGCCAAGTACGAGCAGAAGCTCTTCCTGGCGCCGCTACCCTGCACGGAGCTGTCCCTGGGCCAGCACCTGCTGCGGGCCACCGCCGACGAGGACCTGCGGGCCGTCATCCTGCTGCTGGCCCATGGCTCCCGAGAGGAGGTGAATGAGACCTGCGGAGAGGGGGATGGCCGCACAGCACTGCACCTGGCGTGCCGGAAGGGGAACGTGGTCCTGGCACAGCTCCTGATTTGGGTAGGTCGTCCGGGTGCCGCGCAGGGGGCACCATGTTCTGCTCTACAGGCATGGTTGGGGCAGAAGGTCACAGGTCTCAAGGTGGGAAGCAGTGTGGACAAGGCATGGGGGATTTCGGTGTGGAGGCCCCCGGCTCTCAGGCTCCCTTTCGTGAGGACACCCCTGGAGGGCTGAGGGAGCAAAGGGAGGAGGTGAGCGGGACACGCTCCACCTGCCATGGGTCAGGGTGTCTGCAGAGTTCGCATTTCTCGTGACCCCTCTGGGTGGAGCGTGGCTGGAGGTGCCCTTCCTGTTCCTTTTATGACAGACTCCTGGCATCTTTATTTCAGAGCAGGGTGGAAAGCAAGGACACAGCTAGTTTATGTGGTTTTTCCCTTTTCCAGACACAAAAATACTGGACCCAAAGTTTGGTGTTTAATACAGTAGGACTTTAGCAAAGTGCTTCTTCTGGACTGTTCTGGCTAACTTCTACTATTTTTTAAATATCTAAATATTTTTTTATTTTATTTTATATTTATTTATATTTTATTTTTAAATATCTAAATATTTTTTAAATATCTATTATTTTTTAAATATCAATGGAAGCATTTGCCATAAAGTCTGAATGGGGACAGGGATGGGACAACATGCAGAGCAGGGCACTGCCTGGGCTGCGGGGTGGGGGGCTGCTTCAAAGAAGCCCACACCCCACGGGGGCAGCTTTCTTCGGGGCTTGGCCATTGCGGGTGGAAGGTGGAGGAAAACTGCTACTGAGAGGTCCCTGGCCGGTGTGGAGGAAAACACTTGCCCACGGTCAGACTGAATAGTGCAGTGCGGTACGAGCTGACTTTCTGTGCTCTTGTGTATTACATATGTGTTTCCTACAATGGAAAGGAATCATCTCCAAGATCAAGAAGTGATTATTTTTTGTTTTTACAGTTGCAAAGTCAGAGTAGAAATAGCAACATGAGAATGATCCTTGGTCTGCCCCACAAAGGAGGGGCTTTTCCTTGTCAAAAGCACATTATTAAGGCGCCTGGGTGGTTCAGTTGGTGAAGCCTCTGCCTTCAGCTCAGTTCATGATCCCAGGGTCCTGGGATCGAGTCCCACATCAGGTTCCCGGGATCGAGTCCCACATCAGGTTCCCTGCTCAGCGGGAAGCCTGCATCTCCCTCTGCCTGCTGCTCTCTCCCTGTTTGTGCTCATTCGCTCTTCCTCGCTCTCTGACAAATAAAATCTTAAAAATAAAAAGCACATTTTTTAAAAAGATTGTATTTATTAGGGAAAGAGCATGCACACAAACAAGGGGGAGCAGCAGGCAGAGGGAGAGGGAGAAGCAGACTCCCCGCTGAGCAGGGAGCCTGACTCGGGGCTGGATCCTAGGACCCTGGGATCATTCCCTGAGCCAAAGGCTGATGCCTCACCTACTGAGCCCCCAGGCGCCCCAAAAAGTACCTTCTTTCAAAGAGCACACAGAGGGGCGCGGTGTGGCACCTGGCCATGCGGCTCCCCTCCAGCTCATGTGTAGCCCATCCCAGGGGTCCGTGTCCCTGCACGAGCTTAGCTGTGCTCTCCCCCGGTGACCTAACAGCCCTCTGTTGCCTCTACAGTACGGGGTGGACGTCATGGCCCGGGACGCCCATGGGAACACAGCGCTGGCCTACGCGCGCCAGGCCTCCAGCCAGGAGTGCATCGACGTGCTGCTGCAGTACGGCTGTCCCGACGAGCGCTTCGTGCTCATGGCCACCCCCAACCTGTCCCGGAAGAACAATAACCGGAACAGCAGCAGCGGGAGGGTGCCCACCATCATCTGAGGACCGCGCGCCCCCTGCCCGCCGCACCCGGGCGTCTGCAGCCTTGCGCCCTCTCTCGGAAGTCACGACACGTGAGTCCCGTCGTGTCCCCACTCTGTTCCCGCTGGTCGCCTGCCACCTGCCCACCTGCCCTCACCCCACGCGAAATCACAAAACCTGACCGTCCTTGCGGGGCGAAGAGGAGGCCAGGAGGCTGGCGAACGGAGTCCTTTTCATAAACTCCCCTAGCGACAAGCAAGAGCTACCGCGGGCCTCGATTTATTGACGATAGCACACAGCAAGGGACCCCCCCCCCCAACCCCTGTCTGGCGGCCTGGAGACCTGGAGTGCGGCACAAGGGACAGGGACGAGAGGGGGAGGGGAGGCAAGGAGAAAGGAGAAGGGTAACTCTCCTTAACCGGCAGTTAAGCACATCAGTACACTTCACCTCTACCAAACGGAACACTCGGATTTCATCTCCTCTCCGAGGAGCTTGACGGCATAAATCAGAAGCAAGCAGAGTTTGTCAGGTTTGAAGCCCCTATGATGGTATGTGTCAAATCAGTTGTAGCTAATCTGTCCAGGGAGAATACTGGCTTCATTACACTTGCATAGTTGGGTTCTTCCAGCATTACCGCTGTTTAATAGAACATGATTAGTCATCACCGAGAAGAAAGCATATTAGCTGGGGAGGTAGTTACGCAGCACGCTTCGATGATTGCCACGATGTGATTGCAATACTTTTCAGAAGCATCGTATTACCCCAGACATGTTCTTTCGAGCCCTTGGAGCCCTCCTTTCTAAATTCACTGTCATAATTTAGTATCTGTTTAATTTTTCAGTCCAAAGAGAGGAAATCAGTTGCTGAGTATTATTTGACTGGAGTCTCCTTGGTGCAAAAACAAAATGGAAAAAATAAATAAGATTAAGTCGGAAATTCAAAAGGAAATCACGAATTCAAGCTAATAATAACATTTCGAGGCCATGTAGTAAACTCGGTAAAGGCACAAAAGGCTTCTTTTTGTAAATCTAAGAGATTTTACTTCCTTTTGCCAAGGTGAATGTCTTGGGTCTCAGTCACTGCTGGGCCACTGCTGAGTGTCACACAGGCTTCTGTGTCATGTCTGTAGCTAAGATTGTGAAAATCTATTTGAATAAAAGAAGTTCATAAATATGCATTGATTTTTGTTCAGACAAATGGCACCTCTGTTAATTTATAAATTGAACTGGATGTGAACTAATAACGTGCAACTAGTTGAGATAAGAGGGTTACAGATCGTTGTACACGGAAAGCACTCCCAGCAGCAAACACTTCCATTAATGTGATCGACAGCTTTTAAAAAGGAAACTATCAGAAGACGATGGTGGTACAATTTGCTTATTAAAATCAAGAAAGAAAAAAAAAAAAAGATGCCTATGAGAGAAAGGTGGGGGAGACCTGTGATTTCTCATTGTTTAGATCTGATACCACTTCTGCCAACCCAGAGGAGGGGCCGTGGGGAAGCCAGGGATGAGTTTCTGAGTCCCGGCCCCGGGTGCTGGGCAGAGGCAGGCATGACCGGCTGACTCTCGGGCCCTGCTGGCACTTCACTGGGTGGCCAGACCCTCCGTTTCCTTTACTTTGGCACCTAACCTGCCATCCCCGAGGGGTGGGGCGACTTCAGACTTAGCTGCCTTCAGCATGATGGCCAAACAGAGTAAAAAAATCAGATCACAACAGCTTAGGTTAAAAGGAAAGGGGTGGCTGTGCCTGGAACCCTTTAGCAAGTCCGAGTGAGAAGAGGGCTGTCTCCCTGGCAGGTGACCCTGGGTCCGTTGTCACCCAGGAGCAGGGCCACGTCTGCCCAGCCACATCTGCCCGCAGCCTCCAGGCAAGTCTCTTGCTCTTCTGTGATAAACCTATTTTGTAAGAGTTTTTTCTCTTCTTTCACTTTTTAAGAAAAAAAAATTAAGTAGGTGGGGAAAAAAATAAAGCTTTACACAGAATTTATATGTGGGTCAGTGTTTCATGGACATGTGTAACCTTGATTCCATTGCGTGGAAGCCAGCGGGCTCCAGGAACAGCAGGTGCAGAAGCCAAGAGGCTGGGAACCTTGACAACAGGTCCCTAATCCTACCCCCCCCCCCCCCCCCAGTTTTTAATTCTGTGTTTCATCACTGTGTAGTTATTTTAAATGTGAATAGAAAAAAAATGTCGTTGCCTATTTTTTGAAGAACGCGTCACTGTTCTGATGCAGCTGTACGCATTCGCCTCTGCACAGCCTAGCTTCTCGCATAGACTTTATGTAGTGAACGCAGATACAGCATAAATGAAATTCTTAAATTATTTCATTGTAGTTAACTCCCACTATAGGAATGCTCTATTCATATAGCGAAGCCTTGTTTTGAAAAGAAATGGAATTCCTTGTCAGGCTTCCCTTTGAGATATATATGAGTGTGTACATACTATTATATGTGTTTATAATATAATATTTTCCCAAATGACTTCTTTTTTCACTTAGCCTTTCACAACCTGAATGCCAGATTGGTTTGTTTTGTTTTGTTTGTTTTTTCCTCCCTTCCCTCTCTCAGACACAGGGACTTCACTGATCCCTTCTCAGAAAACTTGACCCCTCTTCTGCTATTTTGAGCAATGTTGATCTGCGCTGGGAGGCGGCCAGCTTTCCTGAACCTGAGTTTTGGCAGCAGAGGGGAGGCAGTGGTGGGTTTCAAGGGTTTTCCTTGGAAAAAAAGGTGGCTGGTGGCTAATCTGCTTGTATTTCAGTGTCACACCAAAAGGCCTTTCTTCACTGACTGTGCTCTCATGCCCATCTCAAAACCTTGCTAACACTGAGGCGGGGAGGCAAAAAGTCACAAGGGCTGGTGTTAGAAATGACCGGTTCGGGAAGGGGGTCGAGTTGTCACTTTCTATTCCCATGGAAGTTCTGTGAAGTGACAGTGATGAGAAGACAGCACCGCATCATCCCCATAGCCTGTTCTATCCAGAAGTAAGTTTCCCCGAACTTGAAACCACCTGCTGGGGTAGGCACAGGTGCATGCGGTCACCGGGGAGGGTAGCTTCCCCATCTGGCTAGAAACTCTGCAGACGAAGGAGCCTCAATTCCGATCCCTTGAAAGCAGACTTCAAGAACTGAGTAGGAGGATGGCTCGCCAAGCCCAGAGCCCTAGTCATGGGGCCCTGGCCCCTCTGTCTCCTGTTGTCCCAGGAGATGAGCAGCTCGAGGGTGAGTGACATGTTCATAAGTCTCTGGCCCCATGAGCCGGCACAGTTCTATGTCTCCCAGGAAGAGTACGCTGTGTGTGATTATCCCGGAGAGCAAGGGAAGGCAGGGGGTCCTTGCCAATCCCAGGGCTGTCGAGGGCTCTTGCGGATTACTCTTGACCGGAACCCTAAAAGGAGCCCATTCTCTACCCATGACCCCAGGCACCGAGGCAGGGCCTTGCTCTTCTGCCTGTCTTCTGAAGTTTTGTCTAGCCTGATGCCACCTACCCAGCCTCTGCCATCGGGCCTCGGGACCAGTCTTCCCCAGTTTTGTAACCTCTGCGCCCTTCCAGAGTCATCCTCTCCATCTGCAAAGGAGCAGCCACTGACTTCATGAGGGGAGAACAGGGTCCAGTGATAAAGACAGCCATAGGGCTGAGCAGACCCAGCTTCACCCGGCTTTGCTGCCCCTCCTGGGTGACCCTGGCCAGGTCCTCAGCTTTGGGGCGCTCTTTCCTTAACTGTGAAACTGGGGGGGGGGGCAGGGTGGCCTTGCAGGATCCAATGACCCTTTGGTTTCCAAGCAATGTGATCACTGCCGGCCAAACACCCATCCAGGGGCTGGAAGCTCAGGAAATGGGAGTGTTCGGGAAGAACAGAGATGCTGATGGCATCAAAGCCTGTGCACCCACATAGAGAGCGGCCCCCAGGCTAGAGGTGCTCACGTTCTCCAGCCGCGCCCTGGGGAGCCCGTGACAGCATGCTCGCCAGTCCCCCTCCCCTAGGCCAAGCCAGAGGATGAGCGAGGCTCTCTGTGAGCCCCTGCCCCAAGGGGTGAGCTCCAGTGCTCACTTCCTGATGTTTATCCTCCTGTCTTCGTGGTCTGATTTTGCTTTTCCAGAGGCAAAGTAAAGGTTGAGTCTTACCCTCATGCATTCACCAAGATCCCTTGAGGCCCAAGGTGACCCCTTCTCTCTGACGCCGTGCTGTGTCATTGGCTCAAACAGGCTTCCCACCCTTCAGAAGCCACCAGGAGGCTGCTGTCCACACTTGGCCCTCAGAGCTTGATGGGAGAGCACCCTGGCTGGCAGAGGTCGAGGCCCTGGGGCATCTCGTGCGTCACTTAGACACTTGCACGGTGAGCGGGCACCTCACCAGAGCTGCTCTCCCTCTTGAGGCTGGCGTTCGGCTGATCTTGTGCCTGCAGCTGGTGAACGTAACTTCCCCTCGAGGGCAGCCTTGGGTCCTACCCGGACCCCAGCCTGAGCTGTGCTCCAGCTCACCACGGCTCCAGTTCTGCCATCCCTTCCTCCTGGCATTTAGGATGCTCTGGAAATAAAAAATCCACATTCCCACCTAGGGAGGTTCAGAAGCCTTGCAGCAATGTAGAGCCTCTACAAGTAAGTATGATCCGGGCTCCAGAACTTCTCAAAAGGCAAAGATAATTGGAAAGCAAATCCATTACCCCTCCTTGGGCTGTTTGCCCCTCCCCCACCTGCTCTATTTCCATCCCTCACGCGCCCCACAAGGTCAGCATGACTTTCTAGAACTCCCCTGGATTGTATTTATGTCCTTCAAGCAAACAAATTGAAAAGCAGTCAGGAAGGAATTCAAATAGAAATGTGCTGAAGATACACATCTTTCTTTCCCAGGAAATATAATTTATTTCTAACTGCCTCCCGAACATGGGCTTCACACATTGTGAAGTCCTGTCTTCAAGTGATTTTCACCCTCATCCTTCACCAAAAAGCTAAATAAGGGCCTTTGGCATCCAGACTTGGATTTTTCACTTTGGGCCATTATCAACAATGTTGCTTTTTCTTGAATTCCTAAGTGGCTTTCTTCTGGAAGCCCTGTGGTCATTGAGGCTTGGTATGGGCCCCGCCCATGCTGCGGCCTGGCCAGGCCCCCCAAGTGTATGGCTCACACGGGCAGGGGTCTGGCTCCCCACCTGGCCCAAGGTGGGGTTGTTGGCCCCCACCCTGCTCTGTACCCTGCACCCTGGTGGGCCCTTCATGGTTCAAGCATCTCAAGTCACCTTTCAGTCAAAATGTTGAATTGCTTCCAGTT